AGCAAAGGATAGATGTGCTTTAGCTCGTTTAAGCAGGAATGGATTTAACACAAGTGTTCTTCATACCGAGCATTCGGAACTTACTCTGAGTACCAAGCTGCAGAATGGAATTGCCAGTAAATGTACATACACATTTCTCTCCCGAGTTTGTGGCTTACAGAACTGAGGCCTATTTACGGGGCGTAATTCTATTCTAGAGTTCTTTAGCAACATCCTTGTCTTTCAGTTCTTGGGACTCCCCCTTGAACAAGGGCCTAAGCTTGCCTATTTTATAAGCCACTCACCGGAGTTGAGAAGCGAAGACAGTTTCCCAGGCACACAGCACATGTAGTTTCCACATTGGCCATTAGGGGGCAGAGAAGCCTAAAGATTATCAGCTGAGAAGGAAAAAGGTGATAGGAGCGTGGGAGCAATAGTGGGGGGGGGGAGGGAGGGGAGGAAGAAGAGAGGACAGGGTTAGGGAAGAGGAGGAGAAAAGGTGGAATAAGAGGAATGGAAGGAGGGATGAAAAGCAGAAAGAGAAGAGGAGAAGAGAAAGCAGGTCACTGAAGTGAAAAAATGTTCTGGTCAGCAGAGGTGACATTTGTAGAGTATTTACATTTGCAATGTGTTATGGTTTCTCTTTCTCATAAGAACAACCCAATAAGAGCGATGCTACCCACATTTTATTGTAGCACCAACCTGTTGCTTAGTCAGTGTGTTGGATCCCCCCACCGTCCCCCTCCCCTCTCCCCCCAGCAGATCCTGGGGCCCAACAGCCTGATTGCAAAGTGTGGGAAGAGTCCCTGATCTCTCATTGTGCTGACTCACTTGTTTGTCAAATGAGCATGAGAGCAGTGGCAATGACTATAGGTTGTTTTAAGGGCTTAAGAGGGCATGCGCCATAAGCCATTTAGAGACACAGAGGAAAGCATGATTTGCTCTTTGTATAACCTGGCTGTGAATTCCTGGCTAGCAGGAACTGCTCCATTCACTGCACCCCTGGTTTCTAATGCAATAGCATACACAGACTAGGCTGCTTTAAATGCTACTTTTTATCTGGTTTATCTATTTTTCTTTATGGCTTATTTCTCCAAGCATAAGAAGAAAAAATACCAGATAGTTTCACTCATAGCAGGAGTATAAGGGATCAGGGAAAAAAAAGGTAACTGCAATAAAATACAAACGAAAAGTCAATGAACAGCTATAAACAGGAGACATTCTACGGGGGAGGAGAGTTCCAGAAAAACTGTGGCCAGAAGAGCCCAGGGGTGAAGTGGAGGTGGGAAGACCACAGGATTGCAAATGAGATGAAAAAATGCACAAAAGAAGAAAGATGTAGAAAAAGGAGGGAAGGAAGGACCTAGGGACTCCCTGGTGGCACAAGGGGTTAAAACCTAGCACTATGAAGCTCTCCTAAGCCACTGAGGCCCCACCCAGGGAGTTGACCCTGGTGGCTCAATGCAACAGACCTCTCCTATCTCTCCTGTCTCTCCCTTCTCTCCCTAAAAGCGTATTTCAGTACATCTCCCTATTCTTCTCCCCACACTGTCTCTGGTGAATCCTCCCATCCCCTGCATCTCGACCTGTACCCCAGTTCTTGTATGAATAAATAAATCTTTAAAAAATAATTAAAAAGCTAACCTAGAACCTTGAGAAAGAAGATTACAAACACCTGGGGTGGGTTATGGCTTTACTGGATCAAGAAGGCTCCTGTTGACAGGACTCCTTTTTCCCCAGGGTTGGGGGCAGAGGATCTCTCCACAATAACTTTGGCAACAGCTTCATAGTACTATGCATTAACGTGTTGCACCACCAGGGACGGCCCCAGGTTCCAAATTTTTTTTATAATAATCAAAACAAAATACGATATTCAACTCGTTTTCACAAAACAGTCATTGAAAGTAGTTGTAATTGATAAACTTCATTCCAACTTTTATTGGGATATATCCTACTTTGATCTTAAAAGTTTATTTTAAGGGGGCCCTCCCTGGTGGCGCAGCGGGTTAATGCACAACACTAAGAAGCTAAAGCCACTTCCGAATGAGTTCATCCCGGCCCGCAGGTGACCCACATGGCGCAGCAGACCTCTTCTGACCCGCAGTAGTATATTTCATCGATCTGCCTGTTCTGCTCCCCATTCAGTCTCTGGTGAAGCCTCTCACCACCCTTGCACCTCTGGCCTGTATCCCAGTCCTGTATGCAAAAATAAATAAATCTTTGGGAAAAAATAAGTTTATTTTAAGGATTATCAACTAGGCCCAGTTTCCAATTTTCAAGGGAAGACTGCAGAACAATTATCCTGCCAAAGTTTACTAAGGGCATAGCAAAAGGCAGTTTAATAGCTGATGGCTCATTAGATCTGTATGTCCCCCGGGTTCTTAGCTGCTCCACAGCTTCATTTCAGTAGCTTTAAACCTTCTACCTTGTCACCATTAAAGGTCTAAAGAGGCACCTTCTGTGGCTTCATCCCTACTTGGCTTTGCTTCCCAGCAAACTGGTCCCATTGTCCCTCACCTGCTGCAATGCCTGAAGGAGCAAACAAGTAGAAAGTGTGTAGCAGATGCCTTCTAGAGTGTGCTTTATTTCTTTGTTTTTAACACAAAATTGCTTTGTATTCCCAACCCCTTCACTGAGGACTCACGTGAGATGCTGCCAACACCCAGCTGAACCCACGGCCTCGTGCCAGGTGGTGTGAGCACCAGATGGGCTGTGCTGTGGAGGTCAGTCTCTAGACTTGGCTCCCCCCCTAGAATCATCATTATCTTATATCTGAAATGTAGGGTGCAGGGGAGCACAGCTCAGACATAATCCTGTTATAATCTGCGTAGGAGGTGTGAACGTATGGTAAGATATAAATCTACCCAGAGTGCTCAGGGGAACTTGCCCATGGCAATACCCGACCCACAATGTTCTGCTGCCTCTGACAGTGTGTTCCAGGTGGATGTTCTGGAGGCAGTGAGGTCCTGGCTAAAGATCTGACCCAGCCCAACATCCAAATTACAAAGCGACCCAAAGACTAACTCAGAGGAGCAGAGAAATGTCTGTCGTTGTCTGGGCAGAGACTGCCAGGGGGTGTGGGCACAGGAGATAAGAGGGTTTGTGTGTGAGCTCATGGGACTCCTAAGAGGCAGGGCTCTCTTACTCTTTGCTTCTCCTGCCCAACCTCCATGCCCAGTAGTGTCTGACTCACAGCACATACACGGCAGTCTCTTTATTTTCTAAGCCAGCTCCTCTTGTCTCCAGACCCAGATGGACGGAGGGACATGAGAAAAATTAGAAATGGTAGGGACCCTGAGAGGTGATTCCATCCAAGCCTTCAATCTAAGATGAATCAGAACCCCGGGAAATTTAAGGGACTGGCTGGGGATTACATGCATAGTTTAGTGTCTGATCTAAGCTGAGACCCTGGAACACCCATCTGCTAACTGTAAAGTCTCCATCAATTCCTGACAGCTTTCCTTTTTCAGTGCAGCAGTAGTTTCTAGCAAGTGAGAAAAGAGCTTTAGACATTTTTATAAAGGGAGGAGGGAGGATATAAGGAGGAGAGTCTGAAGAGACCAGTGAAAGTTTACAAACACAACAAATCAGAAGATTCCACGATGCCTTGTTGAGACGTCCATTACTGGACTTAGCATACCCAGAGGCCATAGTCTTACTAGGCCTTTGGGAATTTAGTGACCCAGTGGGGCAAGCAGTTACTGTGTGTATAGATTTGTGGGCTCATAGCTATGCCGAGAAAATTCCAGGCCTGTTTAAACTGTGTTTCCTAATTGCTTGACAAGTGTCAGAGGTCTAGAGCCTGATGGAAGCTCTTTGTGATGACTTACAAAGGCCTTCACATGTGCCGTGTGGAGAGGGACTATAGGCATGTTGAGCTAACAGGTAGATGTAACCTTTTTCCTTGTAACCTGCTCTATGACTTGTATACCATGTTTCCCAACATTACTGGGAATGGCAGAAATACCTGTGGTCACAACCACCCCATTTACAAATGGCACCATAGAGGGTCAGCTACCTGGCTGCTGTTTGGAAATATCTAGGCCTTAAAAGCCTCCTTGGCTTGAAGCATGAAGAAACAACAGAGGCCCTTTGTGACTGGAGGAGAGTAAGAAAGAGTTTAGACTGCAGAAGTCAAAGAGTAGTTATAGCAAGGGTGGTGTGAACAGGACCTAAGCTTTATCCTGACTGACTGACTGGGAAATCACTGGCAGATTTGAGTGGTATAATCTCATTTGTCTTTATGAACCCTGCCCTGGCTATTATACAGGCAACTGGTCATAGAGGTTAAGAGTTGAAGCAGTTTCTATTCCAAAAATCCAGGTAAGAAATGAGGATGTGGGCCCTCCCTGGTTGCACAAGGGGTTAAAGCACAACACTAGGAAGCTATTGGCAGCCACTGCAGCATGAGTTCGATCCCTGGCCAGGGAGGTGACCACATAGCACAGCAGACCTCTCCTGTCTCCCCGCTGTTCCCCTCAGCAGTGTGTTTCAGTAGATCCTCCTGTTCTGCCCCCCACTCTGTCTCTGATGAATCCTCTCACCCTCCGCACTTCTGGCCTATGCCCCAGCTCTTGTGTGCATGAGTAAATATATATTTTTTAATCATGTATGTTCATGGGTTTTTTTATTTTAAAAGTCATTCACGTTGATAGCAGAAAAGCGAGAACAAAGAATAGCCCTGGGACGTGGGCTTTGGCCTAGTGAATGACAAGAGTGGCTGCAGACCTATCTGTTGTTTGGGGGCGTCGGGGGACCGGACTTTGTTGGGCGTCTCCTTCCTCCCTAACATCTCGCCCTCGCTAAGAGGTTGCCTGTGCTGGGCTGCCCCTTGCTCCACTGCCCATCCTGAGTCAGTGTCCCCACCTCTTCCTGGACCTCCGTTCAGGGAAGGGACTAGAAGGTGCGCTTCCTGCCTTATTTGGTTTGTCTGTTTCCCAATAAATAAAAGCACCACGCAGTGTTCATATTTATCTGGAGTTCCCATGTTTCAGGTTGCCCTATTTACCAGTGCATTTTATTTGGCAATCCTACCTGCCTTCTAGGGCACGGAGACAGATAACAAAGAAAAACAGAAAGTTCTAGCATGATAAGTGTTGTGGACAAATAGGAAGCAAGAGTGTGTCTGTTTTCTTGCAGACTTCTGAGGGAGGCCCGTGACTCTGCCTTTGTCTCACCTCTCCTGCCTCTGACTACTTGGTAATCAGCTCCAGTGTTGGCCAAGCGCGAAGGAAGCCAGTGCCCAGGTGAGAAGCGGTGACCTGGAGATCCACGGGCTGCAGCATGGGCTTGGACCAGGGCATAGACGAGGGGATCCCCCAGCACCACGAAGGGGAGGTGTGTGCTGTCAACAGCTCTTGCACCAGAAGAGACAGCTTCAGTGTTCCAGAATCTTCTCCATTTTTCCAAGGAAGCCACTTCATGGCAGTCACTGCTGGACAGAAGGAAATAGGTGAGGATGCTGTTTAAGGGGGCAGAGGGGGTGTGTGTCTAGCTCTTTTTTCCCCTCAGGCCCTTTGCAGGCAGCCTGGCTCACTTTTGAAAATCCCTTTTGGTATTTTAGAAGAACTATTGAGGTAGCATTTCTTCGGGGGAAAGTCAGTTTGCTCAATATGTCATCTAAGATCTGTTGCCTCTGTCTGCTCGGGGTTCAGTGTTTGAAGGGGAAAAACAAAAGATGTAAGAGCTGTCAGGAAAAGGGGAAGAGCCTTTCAGATGGTGAAAACGATTATGGGGTATCTTTTCATGGAATTCTGGAATCTGATTCTCTGGAGGTTGCCCTTGTTTCTTTGTCTATACTGCTTTACAGCTTTGCAGAGACAAATATCCACTTACAGAACACTCACAAATGGTTTCTGTCTTTGAAAAATGATTCTACTCTAAGGCAGAATGTACATGCCTGTAAAGTAAATATTCATTTAAGCCACTTTTAATATTTTGACTGATATTCTCATTAACTAATAGGTCAAGTAAACTCTTTGACATATGCTCTTTGTAGTTAGTTGTCTTTGGGGAACATCACCTCTTATTTTTATTCTCAAATCATGATCAGTATGAATGATACAGAATAAAATCTAGAGTGAGATTCTATGAGGAAGAACATAATAAATACTGCAATGAGGAATCCCTGTGGGGTCGGGGGCTGCTGTAGAAGATAAAGTTTAACCAAACAAAAGACATAATGCTGAAGGCACAGGAAAAATTGCCAGAAACTTCTGGGTTAGGAAATTAACAGTGACTGATTGTTCTCAGTTCCTTTCATTATTACATTGTAGCAGCACCATTTGCCAGCTATTTGGAGTAAATTTGCTTATGGACCCTCATATCTGTTCTGGCTCTATGGGGAGCTTTTACCTTCCTGATTTAACTTTTTCTAGGCCTATGATTTCCCACTGAATTCATGAAATCTCTTCAAAAAGGACTCTCTGTTCTTTTCCTGACAGGCAAATCAAAGGATTTACACTCTCATTTTTTTTTTGACTTGATGGTACTTACTGAAGGTTTCCTTGCATGGGGCTTGCATGGGGTAGATGCTAAGAAAAAGTAAAAGGAAACACGTTTTAAAATTCATACAGGTCATCAAGTCCTCCTGTCATGGTTTGCTTATTGACCCGGCAGGGTCACCAGCACAGGTAACGTTATTGAACTTTCCAGTTTGATCAAGATAGAGACATAGGTAGCTCGGTTGAAACCACATGTGGACTAAGCTTTGAATTGCTACCACGTCCCTTTCCCTGCCAAAAATACACTTCACGCCACAACCACGGGTAACTTGAGGCGCTCCCATGTTCAAGATAAAAGGTTTTTCTCTGTGAAAGTTTTTCTCATGATTTGAGGAAATGGGAAGAATTTCCACCCATCCTTCTGGAAAGCAGCTGTGCTAACCATGATACCTAGGCTCTGGCCGCTCTCCTGGATCCCAGCTTCAACTCTATATTCAGGGGTCTGGTGTAACAAGGGGTCCCAGAGGCATTTTTCTTTTAAATGATGACTTTGGAGATTTCTTGGTTTCCCATGAGAGAGAACGGGAAAAGCTGGCTCACTCTCCCAGCCAGACCCCTCCCTGCCGTTGGGCTGGACCTGGAAGCTTGGCAAGTGCTTGAGGTGTCCTCTGTGTGCTTCAGAACCCCAAAGTCCTTGGTCCTTTCCTGCTTTTCCCTGCAGGAAGTGTGCTCAGTGCGTGGGGCTCCAGCTTTCTCGCTCCAATGGACTTTACCTGGGTAGGAACTCAGACTTCGCTCTTGCTGCTCCTGGGATTTCTCCTGATGAGTGCTCTTGGTTTCATCTGGAAACTTCACTGGGAGAAAGAGCAAGAATGCCAGACCAAAGGTACAGCAATCAGAGGCTGGGTAGTGCCATACAAGGAAGATTAGGAGAAGTGGGGGGCTGAGCAGAGAGCAAGGGAGAAGACAGAGATGAAGAGGACCCAGGGGATTACTATACAGCTGAGATCTTTAATGCAATCCTTTCTCATTCAGTATCACTAACCGTCTCCATTGACTGCCCCCAAGCTGTAACTCTAACTACCTTAGTTCCTCGTTGTGGGAACTCATTTTCTGCAGACACAATCCAAGAAACCATGTCCCAAAGGGCCCTGTGCCAATTAGGCCTGATTCTTCTCTATGCATGATACTGATTCATTTTTTGTCCCCTTGCAGAGAAACTTCAAAGAGAGCTCAGTAAGTTCTATGCTTTCGTCTCCTATAGTATCATTCGAGACCCCATGTGCCAATTATCTCAAGAGATTTCTTTGTTCTACTTCAGGCTGGAGAAAAGCTCAGGAAGTAGACGGTGAGTAAATTGGAAAGTTTGGGTTTTTAAAAATACTGTTTTTATTTATATATAATTCACATGATCGTTCATTTTTGTACAATGTTTGTGTTCTTTTCTCAGATGTAGTCCCCCTAAAATTTCCACCACCAATTGACCCATGCACCATAATCATATAATCCCTTGTGCTCGTCCCATTTTTTTTTTTAAGATTTATTTATTTGTACACACAGAACTGGGGTACAGGCCAGAGGCTCCGGGGCAGTGAGAGGCTTCACCAGAGACAGAGTGGGGAGCAGAACAGGCAGATCGATGAAGTACACTGCTGAGGGAGCAGCGGGCGAGTCAGGAGAGGTCTGCCGAGCCATGTGGTCACCTCTGGGGCAGGCGGGAATCGAACTCATGCTGAAGTGGCTTTAGCTTCTCAGTGCAGTGCTTTAACCTGCTGTGCCACCAGGGAGGGCCGCTCGTCCCATTTTTAACCTAAGATTATTATCTGCCTCATTCAATGGACGCCTTTATGTCTATTCTTCCCTGAAGGGCTCGCTCACTCTTACACAATCTGGATTTAACACCTACACCAAGCCCTGACTCACGCTTGATGGCTGCCCCAAAGCGCTTTCAGCCCTCTGTCCAAAACACACAAACTCAGATCCTTTCAATCAGCAGGTCTGTATCTTCGGTATTTGCTTGGTCTGTCAGTGTGGCCATCAGTCACCCAAGTGAACTCCTTCCTGACCTCCTTCGTCTCCCCAGGGAACATCTTTTCTATTACTTTTAGCCAGTGACCCTTCTCTGGCCTGGGCCACTTCCCCCAGTTTTTCTTCCTTCTGTGACAGTCACCAATCAACCATTTCAGCCCTTGGTTTCTGCCTCCCTTCCTGCCCTCAAGAGCTACTGCTGTTCTTTTTCTTTTAAGACTTTAAATTCTTTTCTTTTAAGATTTATAATTTAAATAATGATTAAGAGTCAAGAAATCTGAAAAGTAACACATTGTCTTTTTTAAAAAATAGTACAATATTAACCCTAATCTAGAATTTTAGAGTAAACTCACTAAAACAGAAATCTGATTCTTCCCTCCGAATTCCCGAATCATCTGTGGCTTCCCATGGCCCAGGACAGTTTTAATGGGGTGGAGGATGCTATGGAGAATATGTAAATTCCAAAAGAATTAAAACCATATTTTTGAAGAATTGGCTTAATATTAATTTTAATCTAAACAACTACAACTTAAGGAGACTCCGTTACCGGGCTGACATCCTCACGATCAGTGACTCCAGAAAGGTTGCCATTCCCAGGCTTGCTGCTATGCTCTCGTCCCCTCAATCTGTAATAAATGGATTCTATCATGACAGATTTTAACTTTGGCGGGGGGAGTGGTAATACACTTTTTAATTTTTTTTTAGTCAGAGTTATTAAGTTCAAGTGGTCCCAGTAGTTTGAGCCAGAAAGAGCCTCTTCAAGCTGGTTCTTGAGTATTTTAGACATGACTGTGGGCCTTTGATAGTTCTGCTATCTAGTGTTATTTTTACTCATTTTCTTCATTTTATTTTTTGTTTGTTTTTACTTTAATTCGTTTCTTTTTTTTTTTGTATTTTTTTTTGTATTGAATTAATGTTGGTTTACAGCACAGTATGATTTAGGGGGATAGGTTCACACCCCTTTGTATCACACACTCACCAACAAAGCACCAATAATCCTCTGTCACAGCCCACTAGGCCCCCTGCCCACTTAGCACACCCCGCCCCAGGATTTCAACTTTCACTGTTGTATTTTCAAGCTGGTTCCCAATTCCTTCCATAACTGGGAGAATATATTGGAGACATTCATTTTTATCTAGACAACTTTTTTACAGAACTCAGCTGAAGAAACACTAGCCTACAAGATTAGATCCAATCCCTGGCTCTCCTGCCCTGGCATCACAGTCTCTCAGAAGCCCCTGACTTCTGCCTCGAGGGTGCCCCACACTAACATATGTGCCCACAGTGGCCTGACCACACCCTGCCATCTCCAGGATTCCACAGACTACAAACCAAAGTGCCGACCAGCCTGTGTTTTGATCTAGAGTCTTGGCTGAGGAAAAGCCCATTTCCCTTGATTTTCTATGCCTAAACCTTGGAGAACCCGTAGGAGAGGCAGCCAGACAGTGCTAGAAATGAGTGAAGAGGGCGCCGGGAGAGGAGAGGTAGGAGGGCCAAGAAATGTCCATAAAGCATATGGTTTAGACAGGGAGTGTTTACCTCTCTTTCATCTATTGCAGTTTGGAGAAAAGCCCGGTCCTACGCTGGTGAGTAGTCATCAAACACCACAAGGAAAGAACCTCAGTGTTCTTCCTCATCTTCCAGCTCCACACAGTGGCCAGCTGAGTGGCCAGGAATGGAGATCCAGGCAGCTCCATGCAGCCTCAAGACCAAGCACCACCCACCGTGGTGCAAGTTCAGCAGTGGCACCTCATTTCTTTCCAGCCATTTAGACCATTTGGGATGGGTCACCCCTTCTTGAAGCCCCCCCACCCACTTTCTCTCTTGGGTTGCATGACTTCCCAATATTTCCAGCACCAGAGACCTAAGGGTGCAACTAGAAAAGCTTCATTTGGTGATACTTGGTGTCAAGTAGGTCATGCGCCTCTTGTGGGAGATCGTTGATGCTGCCCCACTCCTCTCTCGCTGAGCAGAGGTGCCATTTCATAATCGGGGACCCCAAAAGGAAGGAAAAATCAAACCTTGTGAACTGACTTTAAACAGCTAACATTTTCTGAGCATCTACTACCACACATCAGGCACAGGTCTAAGTCCCACCCAATCGTTCAATTATCAGCCCTTAAAGGAGTCCTAAGAGGTAGGTGCTGATGTTTTGTTTTTGTTTTCTTTAAGATTTATTTTATTTATGTATACATACAAGACCTTGGGTGTAGGCAGGAGGTGTGGGAGTGAGAGGATTCACCAGAGGCAGAGTAGGGAGCAGAACAGGCAAATCCACTGAAATACACTGCTGAGGGGAGCAGCGGGCGAGACAGGAGAAGTCTGCAATTCCACATGGGTCATCTCTCTGTCTAGGGACTGAACTTGTGCTGCAGTAACAGCAGATAGCTTCATAGTGCTGAGAGTTAATTCCTTGTTACCAGGTAGGTACAAGGGATCTTTTCAGGGATCCATATTACATAATTTTACCCACATAGGGATTCTATCACTTATATTATTATATAATCACCATTATCTACCCAACTACCCAAGCAAAAACTTCCATCATCAAGGATTCCTATTTCTTAATCTTATTCTAACCAGCCAGTTCTCTCCGGTCTTCCTTCCAAGTGGCTCTCAAATCAATCTTCTCTTCTACCCACACTGTTCTGCATCACAGAATCCTTTATAAAGTACTATTTCTCTCTTATTAGGGCCTCATTTAGGCAACATGTATTTACTAAGTGCTTTTTAAATGTTAGGCTCTAAAGAAGACTAGCCAGGCACAGAAATAAAGAATGAGAAGGGAAAACAGAGGCAAGAGATCACTATAGTTCTTCTAAGAAGATGACATTTATAGCAAACACAATGGATGGGAAGGAATCAACATGTCAAGACCCAGGACATCCCCAGTCCAAGGCAGTTGGGGGGGTCATATACAGAGGTCCCAAAGGGGGAAATACACAGAAAGACTAAGGAACTGAGAAAAGGCCCATGTGCCTAGATGGGACAGTGTGAGAGGCCTAGAGAGGGCAGGAGATGTGGTGTGGTGCATGAAAACAGCTGGGACCACATCATCAAAGCTACCGCAGGCCACACTAGTATCTTTAAAATTCTTTCTTTTTTTCAAATTTATTTATTTATGCATACAGAACTGGGGTACAGGCCAAAGGTGCAGGGGCAGTGAAAGGATTCACCAGAGTCAGAATAGGGAGCAGAACAGGCAGATCATTAAAGTACACTGCTGAGGAGAGCAGCAGGCGAGACAGGAGAAGTCTGCTACACCATGTGGATCACCTCTGGGGCTGGGGATCGAGCTTCCACTGAAGCAGCTTCCACTGGTTTGCAGTGCTGTGTCCTAACCCGTAGTGCCACCAGGGAGGGCCCTGGAATTATTTTAACTCTGATGAGAAACCACTGGGAACTTTAGGGGGAGGAGCAATGTCATCTGATTTACATTTATAGATCATTTTGACTGCAGCTCAGTTGAGACTAGATTGTAGAGAGGCCAGATGGGAAGCAAGAAAGCTAGTCTGGTGCTGCAGTGGCAATCCAAGCAAGACCATCATGGCGTCCTGGATGGAGACGGTGAAAAGTGGTGGTTGGATTTGGGCTATGTCAAAAAAAAGACTTGCTGATAGGCCCATATGTTGGGTCTTACTTAGGTTTCTGGCCCAAGCAACTGGGGGAATGAGAGGGTATTTCTAGGAAGAAATTCAAAGCTCTAGTTTGTACTGGAGTCCAACAGTCCAAACTGTTTGGCTGCATGATTCTGGAGTGTCTGGTAGATGCAGGAGACTTAGGATTCATGTGTGTATTTGTGGTTTTTAAAATCAAGAGTTGAATGGATAATATTCTTTATCAGTAGAGTGTTTAGAGAGAAAAGACATTGGAGATACTGAATTCTAGAGCTCCAGAACATTCAGAGGCTGGTGGTAAGAGGAGCTAGCGAAGGAGTTTGAAAAACAATAACCAGTGAAATGAGGAGAAAAGCCCAGGAGGAGATATGTCCCAGAATCTGAGGAAAGGAAGTGTATCAAGGAGGAAGGAATGCTGCTGTCAAATGCAGCTGAGAGTTTGAGTAAAATGGGAACTAACTATTAATTGGATTGACAAAGTGATGGTGGGCACTGAAGTTTGATGAAAAAACAAAGAATCAGAGACATTAGTGAAGGTCTGGCTGACTTAACTCCTTTCTCTTGTTTCACAGCCAGTGTGACTCTCGATCCAGACACTGCCCATTTTGAGCTCTTTCTGTCTGAAGACCACAGAAGCGTGAGGCGGAAGGAAACACGGCAGAACCTCCCCGAAAAACCTGAAAGGTTTTCTGTTGACCCTTGTGTGCTGGGCCGCGAGGTCTTCTCTTCGGGGAGACATTACTGGGAGGTAGAGGTAGGGAACAGGACTTACTGGGAGCTGGGGGTTTGTGAGAAAAACAGGGAAAGAGAGAGGGGGATCAGAGTATCACCCCAAAATGGAATCTGGTCTGTGGAACTGTATGCTCATAAGTGCCAAGCCCTCACCTCCCCACCGACACCCCTCCCCCTGAGCACACCCCCTAGTCGGGTGGGCATCTTCTTAGACTATGAGGCTGGGGCCGTCTCCTTCTTCAGCGCGGCTGATGGAGCCCACATCTACACCTTCCCCCAGGCCTCCTTCTCTGGGCCCCTCCATCCTTTCTTTGGCCTCTGGCTCCATGACCCAGCTCCTCTGACCATCTGCCACTGAGGACCAGTCCCCAGATCTTCTCTCAGCCAAACCTCTGGAGAGCATGAATTGCTCTCTGGGGTTGAGGAGTTATTACCAGGGACAAGGCCCCCCAGGCCTCCACACCAACCAGTGATGAGTTTTGCTACCAGAACAGCAGCTGCACTGTCCAGTCCTCTTCTAGCTCAATTTCAATATCCCTCTCAATGTTTTGTAATTTTTAAAACCTAGACTCCCCCCTCTCACCACCCCAGTTTGTAAATTTATCTATTTCTCTTTCCTCTGAATAACTTCCTGAAGTTAAAATCAGTTACAATTAAATTCACATTGTCTAACTTTTTTCTACGCTGTCTGTGTTTATCTATTGTACTGTGACTTGTTCCTTTGCTGAACACTGCATCTTGAACACTAATCTTTTATTATTTGTAATCAAAACGGTCTTCCTTGTTACAACGAATGCTACTACAAACCTTTGTGTGTAAATAGCTTTGTGTAATTCTGGTCACTGCCACAAAATAAACTTCCAAATTACAGTTTTCATTAGGATACATTCATGAAAGTGTGGAGCTGCAAAAGGGACCTGAATCATTGCGTATGTTGCTTGCCTGTCTGTTTCCTATAGGAGGAAGTTAGCGCACTCATTTTGGTATCTATCAGACACTTGTCTTACAGTGACCACTAGATCTGTCCCTTTCAGCTTTGTATTCCTTTCACATCGATCCAGGCAGCTCATTCTCTTTAGTGGAAAATTCTACCCAAACAATGTTGAGGAGTTTGATCAAGCTCACTTTCCACTTAGTGAACAACTTTATGCCCTAATCTACATGAAGCACCATGGTAAGTAAATTGCCTTGTTTATTTCATCCTCATTCAGCAACCCAAAAGGAAGTACTGTTCATGTCATTATTTTACAGACAGGAAGACTGGACAGAAGCACAGAGCGGTGAAGTAGCTGACCCCAAGTCACACAGCCAATAAAGATCACCAGGGCAAGCTGGCTGCAATATCTAATGGCTTTTACCACTCCATTATGCCAGCCCTCCTTCCTACTTTCAAATGTTGTTTCTAAAATAGTAGGTTCTTGAGAAAAATTGCTTGATCCGTGCCTCTTTTTTGCACGTGTTTTTCTCCCAGAACCTTATGCAAAGGTCTGAATGAGAATTAGACCTAGGACCCTATTTTCTTGAAAACTAGAACAAGAGTTAGGAAATGCTTGGCCCCAAAGCCCTTTATCTGAAGTCCAGAATCTAGGTTGGAAGTCAAGGCTGTTTCTATATAAAAGTAACTTGGATCTTCCAGACAAGAGGCGAATGTTTCATCCTTTGGATATTATTTCCAGCAGCAAAACTTTGATTAAAAACTATGAATTTTAAAAATCAAGTCTCTCAGTGAGTATGAAACCATGCATGCAACTCTCAGAGAAAGGGCAGTTTCATCCCCTGCAGCTGTAATCTGACTTGGGGAGGTCGTTTCCTGTGGTTGAAGTCACCAAAATGCTGTGTTTGGTGATGGGGAGGGCACATCTCGGACAGACCTCTGCTGAAACCCTTCTCAGCCATCTTCCTGCCCACACTAGAATGCCAGCCCTGAGCCGAGGGTTCTTGCCTCTAACTCGGAGCCCCAGGGTCAGCCCAGTAGTAGTTTTGGAGTGAATGGCCTGGTCCCCATAACAGCTGCTGAAGGTGTGTGCTGCCTCGTTCTCATCCTCCTCCTCCATCCCCCAACCCTTCTCCTGCTCCCCACACCAGCTGCGCTATTTGAACAAGGTTTCTCTGACTTTGGGACTAGAGCTGATGGTGTTTACTCGTTACCTCCCCACCCACTACCTCACCTCTAGGACAGGTCTCCTTGAGGTTTGCAGCCATGTCATAAACCACACGAATCCTGAGACTGCACCAAAAAAGAAGAGAAGAGGATCTTGCTCCTGAAAAAAGAAAAAGGACAAATCCTGATAATGTCTCTACTTGCAACTGTGTGATTTTAATCCTTAAAGTTTCTGTCTATTCTACCTAGTAACTGGTGAGAAAGTAGGTTCAGAGATGTGGTTGGCTGGCTCGCCCGCAGCTGGCCAGTCCAGGGTTCTACACTGCTGGAGGAAATCTTGGGGCTGCGTGGTGGGAGCACTGGGGTCCGGCCCGCGGCACCTTCACGCGGCCACTTGCGGGAGGAAAGGACAAGGATTTTCCTCCGCTTTCCGGAAGGTGGGTTCTCTGGGTGTGACTGTGTCCATGAGCGGGGTAGAGAGAGGAGGGACAGTAGGAAAATCATCTTTTGAGCGTCAGTTCTAGAAGGTGGGAAAGGAAGGGGAAGCGTGACAACTCTGGCATGAACGGGAGGTGGAGGGCGCAAGACCCCAGGTGGGAAAGATGGGGCCCCCCTCCCTCCCCACCCTCTCACCCCCACCCCCGTGGCAGGGACGCTTCCCGGGGTGTGGAGATGCTCCCCCAGTCACCGGAGATGCTCCCCCAGTCACCGGCCTTACCTTTGGAGGTGGAGGGAGAGAGGGGAGGGTGGAGGGGGATCAAGTGACAGCTGAAGAAACTTAACTCCGACCCTAGAAGTGAGCGGAAAACTGCTCCCCCACTTCTCCCTCCCCCCCCCCAACGCCAGTGTGCTTGGCTCGATCCTTGGAACATCAATGAACCCGTCTTATCTAAAGATACCTGAACTTGGGGAGAGGCGGGGCTGCCCAAGGCAAGAGTGGGGGTGCCTATGATACCAGCGTGGGTGAGCCCAAACCTTAGTGCCCAGCGCCCTTGCGTCCTCGGCTGACTCGGGCTGACTCCGCGTCTGTGTCTGCCCCTAGGCCTCCAGTCCCTGCCCCTGCCTGGTGACTGACTGGACTCTCCTCCTCGGTGCTCATGGAGCCCACAGCTTCTCAGCACTTCTTCCTGCCAGAGCCCCTTCTCTTCTTGCTTCTCAGCTTGCTTCCACCCTTCTCAGGTAGGGGTCACCCGGAACTCCACTGAGAATCTCCATTGCTCAAAAGCGAAATGAACCCTTCCGTCCCCAGAGAAGCAGAACCCAGAAACACTGTAGCTGGATCCCTGCCCTGTCACTGTGCACGCGTTCAGTGGCGTGTCCCTGTCCTGTCCGCAACAAGCACAGAGGCACAAAGGCCAGCTGCACATGAGGTTTTAAGTTTCTGCGTAGTGGCATTCAAAACAGCACAAAGAAACAGTTAAAATAAAATTTGGTTGTATATTTGGTTGTATATTTTATGTAACCTCCAGTCATGGAAGTATTATTTAATTGAAATTAGTAAAATTTAAAGTAAGCTTTAAATTAGCAAAAGGTGACTAAGGAGAGGGTTAACATGTTAACTCCACATTTTCAAAATTATAGAGGCATTTTGCATTTGCAGCACATTTCAATGAGCCTCGCTGGTGGCTAACCTGTTGGCGCTGTGAAGTTTATGCTACAAATACTGTGAGGTGGGGAACAGAAATCCTGTATAAGTGAAGGGTCTCTGAGGGGTGTTGCTATGTGCTCCCCAGTGTTTCCTCCTTGAAGCACTAGCAGGTCAGTAGAATCCCCTCCTAGGTGTCAGTAACTGCAAGCAGCCACCGCTGCCACAGAAGCCTCTGTAGCCTTAGAAAGACCATGTCTGCTCCAGAGATAACCACATAAGCTTCGCCAGCGTGGCTATTTGATGACCATCAGCCCCTGCTCACTCTACCCCTTTGTCCAACAGCGCAGTTTACCGTCGTGGGGCCAGCAGATCCAGTCCTGGCCATGGTGGGTGGAAACACCACGTTCCACTGCCACCTGTCTCCAGAGAAAAGTGCTGAGGACATGGAGGTGCGCTGGTTCCGGGCTCAGTTCTCCCTGGCCGTCCTCGTGTATCAGGGTAGGCGAGAGAGAACAGACTTGCAGATGGAGGCCTACCGGGGACGGACAACTTTCGTGAGTGAAGATATCCAGCGAGGCAGTGTGGCGCTGGTCATACACAACATCACAGCCCACGATGACGGCGTCTACCGCTGTTACTTCCAAGAAGGCAGGTCCTACGATGAGGCCACCATGCGCCTGCTGGTGGCAGGTGCGTCTTCCCTCGGGCTCGGTGCTTTTTCACAGTGTGGCTCTTAAGAAAGGTTTCTCTCCCACAGTCAGGCCCACGGCAGAGCAGCAGATGCTTGCCCAGAGCCCCCTTTAATCAGGGAGTGCCATCCCTGGTGGCGCAACAGGGTAAGTCCCAGTGCTGCAAGCTAGCAGCAGCTGCCTCAGTGCGAGTTCGATCCCTGGCCCCGGAGGTGGCCCACATGGCGTGGCAGACCTCTCCTGTCTCACCCACTTCTCCCTCCCAGCAGTGTACTTCACTAATCTGCCTGTTCTGCTCCCCACTCTATCTCTGGTGAATCCTCTCATTACCCCTGTGCCTCTCTGGCCTGTACCCCAGTTCTGTGTGCACAAATAAATAAATCTTTAAAAATAAATAAATAGACAGGGAGGGTGGCCTCCTACTGCTTGAAGTGGGGGGTGTGCCCTGCAAAACTGAGGGCATCAATACCCTGTACACACAGGACTCAGCTTAGCCTTGAGCAAGGGAGAACATTTAATTTCTAATTCTTTTTTAAAAAATTATTCTATTGAAGTACTACTGCATTAGAACAGTGTATCATCATAAATCACTGTCGGTATATGCCACACTAGGATCCCATCTAGCACAGCACCCAGAACCTGGGTCCTTCATAGGGATCTTCTATGTGTTACTTGAACTGGACACTTTCCAGAGCGACAGAGGCACTGTCCATGGCTGCACCAGGACATCTGGAATCAACAAGGCTGCCCAGCAAACCACAGCATGGGGACAGCTCACTTCTTGATACATTTTAATTTTGTCTTGTTTCCTCTCCCTAAACACATCAATTGTTTCATTAAGCCTGGTGGGAAAGGCTGCAAAATAGAAGTGGCCTATAAACGGGGGATTTTTAGGAGATTATTTAAAATGACTCGGAGGGATTATGTTTTAAGAGAAATGTTTGATGCCTGGAAGAACCTTTCAGACTCCCATAAGTCAGTGGCATTTCAGTCCATCAGGACAGCGGAGGTGAAGTTCGGGAACAGTGCGAACTTCCCAGCAGACCCAGATCCTAACTGACAGGAGATCCCAGCTTGGTGCCAGATTAAGAAAATAATTTTTTTAAAAATTTAAATGTCATATATTTTTTATGTCATTCTTCATTTTCATACATTGTATGTTTTATCCACTCCTGTTGGTCCTCTAGGAGCTCCCATCACCAGTGTATCCGTGCAGCATCGCCATAGTCCCTGTGCTCTTCCCACCCGTTCTAAACCATTTTCTTCCCCCACCCCTGAAGAATGTCTCCAGATTATAGTTGCCTATGGATTTTTACTTTGTGATAATTACTATTTCCTCCGATCTCTTATTTGAGCCCCCTGCAATTCTCCTATAAGTTAGACTCTCTGGTATTTACTTTTCTTTTAGATTAAGAAAATAATTTGAATCCAAAGAACAAACCAGGCACTCACATTAATCACACTTAAAATTTATTACGGGTAACCTGCCTCAGCAGCAAAGCTGGTGGACAGGGTCCACACCACCCTCCCTGACCAGATCTTCTTATGCTCTATACTTCTTATACTCTGCTTAGTATACGTGATCATGCTTGTGTGAGACTCATGTTTCCAGATGTCTGAGAGACATGCCCCTCATGGCTTTGTTCTGTGAAGACTGATAAAGTTGCTTATGGATCAGCAAGGCGTACACATTAACACATGGGAAGGCCATGTTGGGACGCTGGCTGTCTTCCCAGGGTAGGGAAATGACCATCATGGGCCAGTAAGGCATTGATACAAGATGGGGTCATTTTGGTTCCCCACAGTTACTCAAAAGAGCAATCTTGTATCTGATGCATACAACATATCCTGGTAGGAGGGTTTCTAAGGCACAAGCGCAGTAATAATCTCCTGCGCAGTAATAATCTCCTGCACAGCTCACCCATGTGGGTTTGTAGGTAGCAGGAACCCTCTATTCCTCGTTGTAAACATGACCCTGAACAATCTGAACTAGGTTTGTTGCAGAACTTTCTGCTTATTAATCTTTGTTTCATTGTGACTGGCTAGTTTTGTCCTGCTGCCTCATGCTTGCTCTCACTGAACCCTGTGGTATGATTTGTAGAATCTTTTTTTTGCAATTTGCTTAGTTCTTTTGAAGCTTCACTTCAGGTTTCTGTGTGAGGCATTCAGTACACAACTAGTTTCTTTCTTCTTCCTACCAAAAATCAAACTGAGCAGAAAGCATGAAAATTAAGCAGTTGTTTAATCTTTTTGCTTAAAAGAACTTTGGTTGGTCACTAAACATAAGACTTAAAGGGGAGGAGTCTCCCAGAACTGAGCCTAAGTAACTCTCTCACACAGGAGTCTCTTTTTTTTGACAATTCCTTTGAAGATAAAATAAAGTAAGAAGTGTCTAGATTCTTAGGATTTTTGATGATGTCCTGTTGCATTGTGGAGGTGATAACATTATGTTAAGGATTCCAGGTGCATCTGCTAGGATCTTGTCTTCCAATAGATCAATGTTGGAGAGACACTATTAGAAAATCATGCAATTCACTGAATCTCAGAAACTGAGCTTCTCTAAATTGGGGTGAGGGTTGCCTTTGCACACTAGTTCTGTCCACTCTTCTAAAACCCAACAGTCTCATAATGAGCAGATGGCTGTGCTGATCCGAACCCCTGAGCCAGAAGACAGTATATTGAGGTCAAAAAGTTTCTTGAGATTCTGCCAACCAGCCAGATCTCTGTCCTTATATAAGCCTAGAGCTTCCAGAGGCCAAGGTTACTGAGCAGGGCTAAAAGTGAAATCCTAAACCTACTAGCTTCAAGTCAGAGTGGACACACTCTGTGTGAAGTAAGAGAATGAAAATCTCTAGCTAAATGAATGAATGAATCAACCACCATTTACTGGGATGGAGATCTGCTCCATCTTGTGCTCTGTCTATGGAGTCTGGAGGTGGAGCACAAGGAAAGGTGTGTTGTAGTCCTTTCCCCTGGAGAGCTCAAAGTATGTTTAACATATTAGTCTCCTGGTGTTCTCTGATTTTCCTTCCTGTCTTCTTCCTCTTCCCTCCTCCCTTCACAGAGGGGTACTGTAGGAATGCTCAGAATAGAAACAATCAGAATCTGTGACTCTGATTACTTTCTCCCTTCCCACTTCCCTTCATCCTCACCATTAAGAACTGGTGTCCTTAGGCACTTTGGCTACTACGCTATTGCCTTATAGCTAAGCCCTAATCTCTGTCCTCAGGTCTGGGCTCTGCGCCCCTCGTTGAAATGAAGGGCCATGAGAATGGGGGCCTCCGGCTGGAGTGTACCTCGGTAGGGTGGTACCCAGAGCCCCAAGCAGTATGGAGGGGCCCTGTTGGTGAGGTCCTGCCGGCCCTGGAGGAGGCTTACACTGTGGGTGCCGATGGCCTCTTCCTGGTCGCCACGGCTGTGATCATCAGAGACTGCGCTGTGAGGAACATGACCTGCTCCATAAACAACACCCTGCTCGGCCAGGAGAAGGAAACCATGATTTTCATCCCAGGTTAGTTCCCTGCCTCATCACCTAAAGGCAGGATCCTCAGCCAATTGGAGCCCAAAGCCTGGATGGGGAAATGCAGGGGTGGGTAGAAGAGTCCTGGACCCTAAAGAGCTGTGGCTGTGCCTGAGCTAAGTCTCCCGCTCTTGTCACAAGGGAAAATCAAACACAGCTCCCCAAGCAGTGGCAAATCTGCCTGTTAACTTTTGACTTCCCCAAAATATACTATAGTCATCCCTGGTGGAACTAGTTTTAGGACCCCAGAAAATACCAAAATCTTCTAATGCTCAAGTCTCTGAGAGTCAACCCATCATATAGCCTTGAGTTCCACATCCACAGTCAGTCAACAGACATCTCAGTTGAATCTGTGAATGTGGAACCTAAGGATAGAAAGAAATACACATATAAGTAGATTTTGGTGAATTCAAAACCATATTCAAGGGTCAACAGTAATCTCACGCAGAAGAATCTCTTCTCTAAGTGCAAACGTCATACTTTTCTCCATTATGTTTAAGCACTTAGAACAACCAGGAAAATGGAGAATGGTATGGTTGGGTGACTTTCTGTACCTGGCTGCACTGCCTGAAAGACCTCCTTTTCTGTCCAAGGCATTCTCCCAGAACAGAGCTGGGACATGCTCTATCTATACACAATCATAAATTTATTCAACAAAGACTTAACCAGCATCTCATAGTTCAAGGGTATTATTAAAGAAAATGAAGGTAAGTCACTGATCAAAACACAAAGATCCTTACCCTTTATGGGGCTCACAATCTAGAGTGACAGAGGACAATAAGTAAAATAATTACAAGGCATAAAATAATTAAACTGCAGATTATATCAGATGGTGATAAATACTACAAGAAAAATGAATTGAAGAGGCTAGGGAATATTAGAAACCTTGGCGGAATTTTAATGATAAAATAAGATGGTCAGGGAAGGTTTCACTGAAAAAAAGTAATTGGGCCGAGAAAACCATGCACATATTTGAGCACTGAACAAGTCGGGACAGCATGTGCAAAGGGCCTGAGGCAGGAACATGTCTGACAATTTGGAAAACCCCGAGGTGAAGCAGGGGTAGCTGCTATGGATTGCGTGCAGGAAACGTTGGCAGAGAGGCAATGTTTCCAGATCACGTGGGAGAACGTGTCGGCCCCTTTGGGTTATAGTGAGGCAGGAGTGAGGTAGGAGCATTGCATTGTTTTGAGCAGAGATAGCAACACAATCTCACTTGGGCTGCTGTGCTGAGGGCAGACTGCAGAGGGTCTGCGCACTGCAATATTCCAAGGCACTAAGGCACCATGGCTTGGGCCAGGGTGGTGGCTCGTTTTTATTCCCTTCATTCCTTTCCACGGTGATGCCAGGTGTTTCTGCTCTTCTGTCTCCTGGGTCCCTGGCCTGGATGATCTGGGGTCCCTCTGGGAGCCAGTGGAGAGCCAAGGTCTTTTTCTCAGACTGGGGTTTGTGAAAGAGAAGCTGACAGAGCATGCCTTGAGGAGATTCTCAGATTTAGGTCTCTCCAGATGTGAATCCTCTCACCCTAGCCTCCTGCTTCTCCTTTCCTGGTTCCCTTTTCAGAATTTTTCACTCCCAGCACGTCCCTCTGGGTAGCAGCTCTGGCCATCATCCCTCTGGCTGTGCTCCTGCTCATCACCGGAAGCATCTGTCTCATCAAAAAGCTCCATGGGGAAAAAGAGGTCCCATCACTGGAAAAAGAGCTTGAAAATGAAGAAAAAGAACATGTGGAAAAAGAGAAAGAACGTCAGATAAGAGGTAAGCGAGCAGGAGAGCAGTTCACTGGCACTCAAATGACACAGTACTGATAGGTAGGAGCCTGGGAAAGACAGAGGGGATGGAGCAAACCCTTGGACATTAATATTCTGGGCATTATTCTTTCGTGGACATGCAATATTCCAAGGCACTAAGGCACCATGGCTTGTGCCAGGGTGGTGGCCTGGCTTTGAGAAAGCCTGGGCATTCTCAAGCATCGGTCCTTCATTCTGTGACTATTGTATCCTCTCACCTGGCTACATCCACTATTACACTGCTGCATAAAAGCAAACCTGATAAGTACTGATAATATCCGGCACCTGGCCATAGGTCATTTCTGGTATCTTGACAATCCTCAGAGGCGGTGGGGGGAGGAGTTCCTAGAATGGACCAGCCCTTCACTGTTTAATACAAATGCAAATTCTCTTAATTTTTCTCTGAGGACATTAATTAGCTTCTATTTCTTTTCCAGAGCAACTTCAAGAAGAACTGCGTAAGTTTAGCATTTCCTGCTCTAGTCCATGCTCAATTTGGATTCTGCTCACTTAGCCATTATCTCACGATGCTCCCTTCTCTGGCTGTCCCATTGCAGGATGGAGAAGAACCCTCCTACATGCTGGTGAGTGCCCTTGACACTCCTCAGATACTGAGCCTTCTCCCCACTAGGCAGCCAGTTAGAGGACACATTAGACAAGGGGACCCATGGCTGGATATGGGGGCACAGGGAGCTGGGGTCAGTTACCCTAGCAGTATCCTACCCAACTCTTCCGTCAGGGAGTCCCTGCAGCCCCGAGTCAACTAACCCACAACTACAGAGGTCTGCCAGAGGTCTGCATGGAGGACCTTCCTGAAGGTGACCTTAGCTGTTGTTGCTCTTTGGATGTTAGGTTAATCTGGAGGGGAAAAGAGGCAATACTGGCTTAGCCATTTGTAACCTGGGAGATGAAACAGATCTGTGCAATTCCCCATTTCCCCAGAGCACTGTGTGGGGAAGGCCGTTCGCCTCCCAAGCCTACCTCCAGGACATGCAAATGCCCCTCTGCCCTGAGAGGACACTGATCCATCATGTCTTGTGCACAGGGCGGGGAGCTGGGCTGGGCAAGGGGGCGACACAGAACCCAGTCACCCTGCCCTAAGGAGCCCTTTGTGTGTTATGATTTTGTCACCTTGAGCTTAGAAGAACCAAAGCATCCAAGCTTGACTGGATACTTAGGCCTTCCCTCTTTGGGTGAATTTCAAAACTGTCATGGGCAGACATATCAACTTGGAGAAAAGTGAAAATCACTTTTACACAGAAGATATGTGTGGTGCTAACTGCAGGTGGGCGATCTGGAGCTCAGGGTCTGCAGTGTGTCCTGTGTCTAGAGGTCATAGCTATAGACTTCTGTCCCTTGTCACTGGAGCAAAACCAGAAGGAAATAGTCCCCTACCTTTTGCATACATTATAGGTTGGTTTGGGGGCTATTTCTTCCCTTTTTTTTTTAACCTTTGGAGGGTACCTTTACTAGACGTTAAAATCAGTGGTCACCTGGTTAAACTGGTGGAACCCAAAGGACCACTAGAGGAACCCTTTACCCACCTCCCACTCCCCCCCCCAACTCCCCAGGAATCTGTGCAGTGAGAACTTGATGGATTGTTTCATTGGGAAATGTTGCCGGGTTGGGGGGTGTGGATGGTGGATGGTGGATAGGGTCTCTGCAGATTTAAGCCATTTGGAAATTTCCTAACTAAAGGGAGTCCTGGGGTTTATATGTCTTAAATGGAAAAGGGGCGATTCTGAGCCTGTTTCCAGGTAATGGAGCCATTAATCTCAGCTCATTTGTTGAACTTTCTACATTGATCAGAGCCCCTGTCTCTCTACCTGTCACTCACGAACCCCCCCCCCACCTGTCTGTGAATTGCCTGGGGTCTGGGATCAAGGGGCCTTGTATAAAAGGTGGCCATATACATAGGGTATCCCCCTCCTTTTCTGGGTGCCCCCCAACTTTTTGGGATCTCTCTAAAGACCAGGAATGACACATTGTCCTGAGACCCCCAAGCCTAAACCTGAGACTTCTCTGCAGCTGATGTGGTCCTGGACCCAGACACCGCTCACCCCGAGCTCTTCCTCTCAGAGGACCAGAGAAGTGTGAGAAGGGGCCCCTCCCGGCAGAGCGTGCCTGACAACCCAGAGCGCTTCGACTGTCGGCCTTGTGTCCTGGGCCTGCAGAGCTTCTCTTCAGGGAGACATTACTGGGAGGTGGAGGTGGAAAACGTGATGGTGTGGGCTGTGGGCATTTGCAAAGACAGTGTTGAGCGGAAAGGGGAGGCCTTATTGGTTCCTCAGAATGGCTTCTGGACCCTGGAGATGTTTGGGAACCAGTACCGGGTCCTGTCCTCCCCTGAGAAGATTCTCCCCCTGAAAGAGCGCCTTCGACGGGTGGCTGTCTTCCTGGACTACGAGGCCGGAGATGTCTCCTTCTACAACATGAGAGACAGATCGCACATCTACACATGTCCCCGTTCGCTCTTTTCTGGGTCTCTGAGGCCTTTCTTCAGGCTGGGATCTGATGACAGCCCCCTCTTTATCTGCCCAGCGTTCACAGGGGCCCAGGGGGTCATGGTGCCTGAGTCTGGTCTGATCCTTCACAGGTCAGGGACCCATTGAAGCCTCCAGCATCAATTCCCTGGTTTCAGAGCCAAGTAGGGGAAGCCCAGACCATCTCCGCTCCTGCAACACAGCGCCTCCTGCAGGAAAACGGTCTGGTTCCTCTGGTCACATCTGCGGGCAGAGTCATCCGCCTGGACACCCTTTGCAAATCCAGACCCCATCTCTCCTTCATTGGCCGGCAGAGTTAAGTAGCTTATCGGTTTGTAAGCGTGGGGAAGGGTGCAGTGTCAGGAAAACCAGTGCTACCACACCAGCCAAGATGGAAGTGTGAGACCGTAACAGGCAGAAAACCTGCCACTTTGACATCATAGTGACACATCAACCTGACACTCGAGCTGACATCAGACACTGTGGACTCAGGGCGAGGGCAACAGGACACCCCGGCATGTACCAGGGGCAGGGAAACCATGAGTTCCCGAGACATAGTGAAGCTCTCTGTGCCTGGAACTGAAAGGAAGAAGGATGGAGGACCCGAATTGTTGGAAGTGACCAAAGATTTACTGACAAGGACTGAATTAGGGCGGTAAAGAATTTTGCCTTGCATCCAAGCTTGATAAAGTAGTAATAAAACTGAATTTGCATCCTGTATGGGCCTAGCTGAAGGTGACAGCGAACTGGGCCTCACATCAAGGACACAGCAACGAGTCACCCCTTTGGAATGTGAGTTTAGAATCTATATGAGACCCTTCCCCCTTACTGGGTGGGCAGTAGCTGCAGACCCTACTCTTGGGATCTGTCTCAACTGCTGTCCGAGAGCAATAAACTGTTTGCTCAGCCTCTCTGCCTTTCGCCTTCTTTTCTTGTGGCCGGTCACAGAAGTTGGAACAAAACACAGATCCATCTGGATCTGGCCTCACTGTGGTATCCTCGTGATAAACAAGGAGAGCATACGCAGTCATTGAGTATGGCCTAAGATTTAAGGTCCCAGAAGAGCAGGTGAGGATCACAAGTGGACGCCAAGTTTATAGTTTGTGAGAGGGAACAGCAGTTCCCTGCTTCTTGGCCTCAGCATTCTTTCAAACACTTCAAAGTTTTTGAGGACCCAAAAGAGCTTTTGTGTATTTGGCCTGTACCTGCTGATATTTATGGCATTAGAGATTGAAATTCAAGGGAAAGGTTAGATTGTATGTATTAATTTATATTTAAATAGCAATAATAAGCCCATTCTAGGTATATTTGTGAAAATATATTTTACGAAAAAGAACTTTTTTACTAAAGCAAAAGAAATGTTATTGAGAAGTAAGATGTTCTTTAATGTTTTACTGTCATGTTTACTTACAACGAGATGGCCAGACCCGCATTTCTCTCTGTAGTCAACATTGGGGTATCAACTGTGTGTATAAGTTATGTAGGTTCTAGAATACTCCACTGTACACCATGTAAGAATAAAAGCAAAGAAAACAAATAGTGTTTGATGATGATGATGATGATGGAAACAGTATTGCCCTTGTACATGCCTTGAAACTGTGACACCCCCAGAAATTCTGCAAACTGATTTTGAGCACCAGGATAGAGGGCCTGGAATTGAATCAAGCATTTAAATATCATAGTTTAAAATGGTATCCCATTTCACATAGCATAGTAATTCGGTGGTAAGAGTGAATCCAAAAATGTATATAAAAGCTCAAAATTTTACTACTACAGTTACAAATGGACACATTCTGGAAAGAATCAGAAACACTGAAATAGCTAAGCCAGTTGAGATGGATACTGAGTTTTTAATATGTACCTGTTGTTTTATTTTTTGTATAGTTGTTACAGTATTGTTTGAATGACTTTAACTAAAACACCAGACTGAAAACTCGAGAAACAAGTGCTGCTACTTACTGGCCATTTTTATCTTTATCTTTAACCAAGGGGCAGTTTTTCATGTTACAGTTTCTGTAAAATAAGGCTTTGTGTGGATGCTTCTATCTTTTATTATAGTTTACAAAGCTCTTTCACTTACGTTGTATCCTTGCATCTTCACACTACATTTATGGCCATTCACAGTAAGATGAGGCAAGGTCAAGTGTATTTTTTGTTGTTGTTGTTCAAGGAAAATAGAGTTCTCATCTGGACACATTTGCTAAATCATGTCTTCTCTTTACTCTCCTAATGTAAAATTCACTTATTTTAAGTATTTGTTGAAACTAGACATGAACCCAATTCTGTGTCAGCCACTCTGGAACAATTAAAATAGTAAAAACTTGGTATCTATTCGCCTCTGCTTGTTCTTTTATTCCTATCTTTATGCATCTGTCCATTTTCAATGAACTTAGCACTTTTCACACATGTGCAAAGTTGGGTGCCATATAGGAAATAGCAGGGCGATATTGTGGAGAGAAAGGAAGGGTATGGGGGTGACTACTTAGATGTAAAGTCACAAAGGGTGTACTGGAGAAAGTGAGGTCTTTTCTGAGACCTGAGGACTAAGAGTCAGTTGTCTGGGAGCTGGGGACGGGGTAGGAGCTGAGTAGAAATAATAGGTTCCTGTGAAGCCAGTCTATAGAATAATTTATCTTCCTCCCAGACTTCCCAATGCTTGGCCCCCAAATCAACCCATTTATACAGTCAGGTGCAAGGCACGTGGGTAATTACCCCAGACCTTTCAATCTGCAGTGTTACTAAGCAACCTTAAAGGCTTTTGCTATTCAGGGTAGGACTGGGCCTCTATCATGCTGGGCTTTTCTGCTGATCAAACAATCAAGTTTACATCAGGCAGACTACTAGGAGAAAAGAACAATTTGATTACATAAGTATGGAGAATCCACTTGGGTGTAGATTTCAAAGCAAAAGGAGCAAAATGAGGGTGTGCATCCCTAGCTAGGGCATGGGAGAGGGTCGTAGGGCTTCACAGAGAGAGGACAAGGACTCACATGACAAGGAGAAGGTGACTTACATGAGCAGATGCTTTTCATGTGGATAGGTTTCTCCAGCAAAGGCAATTTCAGATAAAACCCTAATTTGGGGTAATAGAAACAATTTTCATTCTATTAGGTTATTAAGAGTGCAGGTTTCTTAGGAGTTTGCCCGCCCTCAGCTGACCTTAGTTTGCAATAATCTGCATGCCAAAATGACAATTTTTCTACAGCTTGTTTTGGCCATCTTGGGATGCCCAGCCTTCAAAACCGACATCAGACAAGGCCATTCTGTGGGACAAAAACAAATGCATTCTATAATCCTATCAGAGCACGGACAGAATCAAAACAAGAACATTGGGCAAACCACAAAAATGACCAGACATCTCCCTCTCTCGGCTAACTGCATCATTTACTGCTGCTTCCTGCCTTTTAACTTAAGCCCACTCTGTTCCTCTAGCTCCTAGTAAAAATCACTACCATGTTAGGTCATGCAGCAGTCCCTGCTTTCTGACAACATTTAAAGCAAACTTGCCTTTATTGAACCTCCCCTAAATCCTATATATTCCCCATATCCTCTCACTGAGACACAGTGACCCACCCACACCAGCCAAGCCAGCACCCTTCCCCCAACAAGTATCAATAAAGGCAACTAACAGGTTTGACCACAGGTGGTCTTCAGCCTGGTCACAGGTAAGACTGAACCCCACTGCCAGTCTCCAGTGCTTACCACGCACCACTACCACCCCAAACTTGGCTCCAGGCTTTCTGTTCCGCAGATTCAGGAAAATATCTTAGTATCAAAAGCCAAAAGGAACTTCCTGCAGATTTCTAAGAACAAAAGCGGAAACAAAAAACATTCCTTGTTCATAATCCATGGATCCATTTCTGTAATCAAGTGTTCACAGAAGGCAACAGTCACTCCTTTGTACCCTTCACAAAAACACTCACCCTCCTTCCCACACCTTTAACTCAAATATTCATTGGTCTAATTCTGTTTATTTTCCAAAGTGAACTCATAAAAGAGCTTGAAGAAGTCTCATTGTTCATATCAACAAGGCTTTGCATTATTTATAAAACCTCTCTCACTGCTGAGAGAGAAAAGACCAGTTGGGTCCTCTCTGGAAGCACAATGGGTTAAATAAAGCACAACACTACTAAGCTAGCCACAGCTGCTCCAGCACAAGTTAGCTCTCCAGCCACGGAGCTGACCCATGTGGTGCAGCAGACCTCTCCTGACCCGCCCACTGCTCCCCTCAGCAGTGGATTTCAGTAGATCTGCCTGTTCTGCTCCCCACTCTGTTTCTAACTTCCCTTAGAAGACACACAGGCTTTGGAAGGTGATCCTAAAATTCCATTTCTCTTTTCCCCCAAATAATGTAACATCACACTCATCTGCGGCTCATAATCAGGAAAGAAAGGCATGGAGGGGTGATGTGGAGAGGTGAATAGTAGGGGTCAGGGACCTAGGAGTGGAGGTCAGTGAACAGACTGAAAGGCCTTCTCCTGAGGACACCTGAAGTTTTCTGGGATGGTGTCTCATGTCCTTAGACAAAAAGAGATGCCTCTGACATCCCTCCCCCTCTCCTCTCTCTGCCTCCCTCCTCCTCCCTCCTCACTCTCTTGGTTTCCCTCTCTCTGCCAGCATACACTTCCTGTTCATATCTACCCCAGAAGATCCTCAAGCAGTGAGGGGTTGGACTGTAAATCTGCTTCCCCACCCCTCAGCAACTACTCTGGATTGAGTAGTTTCCAGTGCCACACAACCTCTCAGAGATTATGAAGAGTAAGACGGAGTCCCAGGTGTTCATAAAGGTAAACCAGGAATTATCAAACCCTGTGTTGGCTCTTTCCTGTTTCATTTGCTCTCTTTCCCTCTGCTTTCTAGAATCTTTCCCAATTAAATTACTTACACCCAAATCTGTGTGTTGGGGCCTTCTTTGGGGGAGAACTCAAGCTAAAACAAGATCTAATAAGGCAAGCTAGAATGATAACTGCACAAAGAGAAAACCAAGCTGAAGTAAGACCAATAATGAGTTCATGTTTTATTTCTAAAATTTTTTAACTCTGTATTTTCTGGTTTTCTATAGCCTGTCTCCCAAAGAGTGAGTGTTACCCATCAGGTAACCAGAAGAAAGGATGCAGGGGAGAAGATTCCGGGAAGAACCCAGAGTGACCACACACTCCTGTTTTTCCCTCGCTCCTCCTATTTCTCTCTTGCTCAATTCAAATTCCCTTTATTGGCTCCTGTAAGTTCCCTGTCTGCCCTTCCTTATTGTTCTAGGGACACTCGGTTTCAAAACATTTCCGGGATTATGACTCACAGATGTGAACACTCAACCAGATCTCAGCTTCTTGTTCCATGGGGGCACATTTAATTCTTCCCCTCACCCCCCCGCCCCCACACCCTACACACTCTATTCAATCTCTCTTTA